CCCCGCCGACGGCCCCGCCCCGGTCCCGGACGCCCGCCGCCGCCGCCTGAGCAGCCCTCCTCTAGCTCGGCCGGTGCGCGCCTTGCATCTTGGCCCTCACCCCAGCGCGGCGGAGCGAAGAATCCCGGAGCCTCGGGCCTGTGACCCCGCGAACGGGTGGGCTGCCGGGCTGCGCCTCCGCGAGCACGGAGGGAGGATGGCACTGTGCGCTCGGAGCGGGAAGGGAAAAGTGCGCACTGCAGGGTTTGTTCAGAGACCGCTCCGCAGGGAGAGAGACGCACTCATCACTTTAGTGCTGCTTTTGATTAAACGCTTTCTGGACAGTTTCTGATTTTGTTAGTTTCTGTCAACTTGTTTGCAGTCATACCCCTGCTCCTATCCCCATGCTGAGCCGAGGAGTAACAGAACTACGATAATCAATAATCTTAATGTTTATTAAACTTTCAAAAAACGACCCAAGATGGTCACCTAGATTTTAAATCCAGTTGACTATTGTCAGTACCAAAAAAAAAAAAAAAAAAAAAAAAAAAGAAAAGAAAAAAGAAAAAGAAATCTCAAAAGGAGAGTAACTGGAACCCACATTGTTTCCTTGTGCTTCCATCTCTATCCTTGAGGGTAAATAACATAAAGTTACTTTTCATATTAATTCACTAGTCCATTGATTTATTGATGTTCCAAGTTGAAATACACAATGGTATTTTAATTGTGTGTGTGCTTCTTACTTGAAAGGGAGTCAAATGTTTGTGAACAAGGTTTTTTTCTGTCATAGCTCCTGGGGAGTCTTAAGTGTAAGACAATAAAAACGAACCAAAAACAGTGTATCTATTTACTTCTAGTTACAGGGAATAATCTTGAAGAGTGTGAAGGAGTTCAAGATATAATCAACTGTTCCTTTGCTTTCTTAGCATAACGCATTTTCATTACCTTTTAAATATAAATGTTTACCTAGAGATTGAGAATTGTTCAATATTTAAAAGCATGTATTTTATTTAAGTCAAAATTTTAACATTTTGTTGAGGTTGATGTTAGGCATATTTGCATACTTTAAGATATACATACTTCAAACTCTGAAGCCAGTTTGACCGAAACACTGAGTGCTTTAGGAGAGTAATTGTCCCAAAAAGCAATAAAATATATCAAATTGGAAGTATGATGTTTAATTAATGTGTGACATTCTAGTGCATTCTTGTATTAATCCTATCAGGAACATTTATTACATTTATATAAATATTGAATTCATTGCATTATGTTTTCTGATAGCATAAAAATGGACTACAACTCTTTTTAGAAGTCAAGTTGAAGTTTAAATACAGCATTTTGAAATATTTAAAAATTAAGAAATATGTATACATACTGAAAACTGATGTTTGATTAACCCACAAATATATCATGTAAATAATAGGCAGTTTATAGTTTTTAGCATTTCTATATTTGTTTTGGCTTAGAAGAAAACACTGCATAGAAACTTTTTTTATAAAAAATAAACTCTAGTTCTTAAAAGATGATAGGAAATATTGTTAGCAGATTATTACAAATTAATGACAGACTGAAGAGTAGTTTGGAAGTATTAATATGGGAATTAACACCTTATTATGTTCATGTTATACTTGACAAAGTTTGAAGGGCAAAATGGTTTATAAAACTATAATATTACTGTAGAACCAATATATCAATTTTTTACCCTCACTTTCATGCTACTATTGCATTTAAAATATATTTTAACATTTCAATTAAAGAATACCAAATATAATATTGGTGTTTTAATGTCTTTTCCCATTAAAAAAGTGAAATATACTTGTATCAGCTGATTATTTTACTGTTCATTTACATAAATAACTATATTGTCATAAAGTGATAATCATAAAAATTAGATTCATCTTAAAATGATTACAAGTATGTTGAAATTTTTCATGTAACATTTGGAAATAAAACTTTATTTTTCAGTATTACTGCTGGATTCTAAAGCACAACAAACAGAATTGGAATGGATTTCTTCTCCACCCAATGGGGTAAGTGCTTCTCATAAAATATCACTATTTTTTAAAGTAAGAAACAAAATCTTCTACTCCCCCCCAGGGAATTATTCACATTCTTCATATTTGAACTGTTAATTCCAAATATCTTTTTCAGTATTTTGTGTGTTTATAGTAAGACACTGAATTCTCTAAATAGAGAAGGTATACTTAGAACTTGGGGAAATAGGAAAAAAAAATTCCTGTAACCATAGTCTTTTGAGTTCTTATTGGGAGTGGAATCATACTTCAGGGTCCAGCCTATAATGCTGACTAATTACAGGGAACATTCCTTTCACAAACTCACTTAAACCTTTTTAGATGCTTTATACTTCTGTAGTATAATCACCAGGTAGATTGTGTGTAACTGTAATTTTTTAAAACAGTATGTAATCTGTTTACATCTTTTAAAAACACTTTTAGCATCATTCAAAAAGTAGTTTAAAAGGTTACTAAAAATGTACTATGCTCAACATTTTGCATAAAGTTTGCTATAAAATATGCGGATTCTGTAAGTTTATGTCATGTGCTATGTACTGTTATTAATCAGGAGTGATGGCACAACATGCACATATGACAGTAAAAACCTGCTACAATAAATAAAGAGTGAAAGTTGTCCAATATAAATCTACCAAAATGTAAATAAACCCTAAATAAATGCTGACCAGTATGTTTCATATAACCAGAACGATATATCACTTAAATTTAGTTTAATATTCATGTCTTCAGGTCTTATTTTTAGTTGTGAGAGAGGGCACATTCTTCATTTATTATTAAGGAAGAGGGCTCTAAGAAAGGAGAATATACCTTATTGTTACTTAAGCTTATCTTTGGCACATTAAGAAATATAGATTCAAAAGATGGTGAAGTATAAGTGAGGATATAAAAATTGTAACAGATTTTTTGCAAAGAGAAGAATGAAAGTCTAAAAAGGATTTTTGAGTATAAGAACAACCTCATAAAATCAATATGTCATTAACTGAAAGTTTAAGAATGCAAAAAGTGAACAAAGGAAATCTGTCTAAAATATTCAGAATTTTCATTAAACTAATTTTTGAGAGATTGCTTAAGTTGATATTGTAGTTATCTGTGTTGGTCACAATAAATTATGAAAAAATGACGAACATTTTACAGATTGAATATAAAAAGTACACTGAGTTTGAGGTGTGAATATAATACTTTTCTTGAAAGTAAAGTGATTTCCATGAGTGCAATAGTATACATTATAGAAAGACATTCATAATAAAAAATGAAACACCTTTCTTTCCAAAGACAGATGTAGACCGTTTTCTACCATCCATTACTTAAAACAAATAGAGGTAGAGGATAGTTTTATCTCTGAGGAGAAGTAAACTGATATATGATTGTAGTGTTTCATCCATATAATCCACAAAATGGTAAATTAGGATTGTCAATGTTAATTTGGACTCAAATGGGCATTTTATACATTCAGAGTTTCTTGAGTTAATAGTTAACCCTACATATCAATAGGAATCAAGAGATATTAGAAAACGATGATCTACAACATTTTCTTTATGTCAAATGAACTGGCTCACATGTGATTCAATATTTAACTGGAAAGGAAATGTTACCAAGACATAAGTTTTGAGAAAATATTTTTGTAAGCAGACTGTAAAAATGCAGCATTTGAATTAAGATATCTTTCCCACTGGTATAATTTGTGGAAATGATTGCAGTCTCTTAGAAAGTGAGATAATAAAACAAGAATTGCGTTAAATGCACTTATGTAGTCTCACTATTTGTTACCTGTGCCGTAGTGTTCTTGAAATTTTTCCCTCAGGAGCAAATTTTTTAAATAAAAATTAAATTTAACTGGCTTTCAAGGGTAGCAAAATTGATTATTCATACATGGAATAAAATAATTGTTCTTGAAGTTAAAGGAATTCTTGAGTTATATTCTTTTATAATAATCTTGGTTTCTTGAAATTGGAGAATTATTTTAAAAGAGCACATTTATCTGGAGCTTTTGATTTTTTTGATAGATATCATTGATAGTTTTGCTTCTTTTGGTAATTTTAATCTAATTAAGAGACCCAAATCTACCCATCCAAACGTATAAATTTGGGTATATTCAGCTGAATGCCATTCAAACAGATTATAAGCAGCTAACTTAGAAAAAAAAAAGGAAAATATGCCCAATTGTGAACTAGTCACAAATGCAAGTTGTGCTCAGAATAAAACTGAATGTGAAAATTGGTTCTTTGCTGCATTTAAGGACCTTTGATGATATTAGGCTATGTATAATAAATTGTAGCAAATATCATATAACCACCAACCAAGAAATTTCTGAATTTTAGAATTCATATATTTCTAATTTGTTAGTCTTGATCATTTTCTAAGAGCTGATTTTAAAAGTAGGTGTTTATATTGTATAGAGCATTTAAATAAATTGATATTCTGATCAATTTTTATAAATAAAACTCATTATCACATGCTTATTAGTTTATTTTCCCCTCTGCTTTTCTTGAAACGATAGTTTAAATATTGCATGCTATGTGACTTTGGGCTTGAATGCTAATATATTTTATATTTGGGACTTTTTGTTGGGGAAATAAAGTAGATGACAGTTTCACTGTTAAGGCATCATAAATTTAAAGTGGGAAATTTTGTGATGATGCTAAGAGAAAACATAAACTACTATTATTTTAGGCTTTTAAGACTATTCTATGAAATGAATTTATGTACTAATGAATGTTAGGTCATATTGTATATGGTTTAATAATCTTTGAAATTGTTGCAAATTCTGTGAAACTTACTACTTTTGTATGTGTGTGAAAATACATGGTATGGGTTTGCTTGTAGTATACATTGTATTAACCTATGAATGGACATTTTTTAACATCTGATTTTTTTTCTGTCAGAAATATTATTAAATATGATCCAGCCTGATATGTCATGTACATTTGATTTTCTATTGAAAGCTGTTTATTTATAATGATGAATCACACTTTTATAACTACTTATTTATAGTTATATGGTTTTGTGTACAATATTATATATAACACTGGAATAAATAGTTTTTTTAAAATGTTACTCCCTTATATCTCATTTTGAAATGATTATAAAATATTCTGCATTATAAATATCAACATATTGTTGAATCCTTTTATATTTCAGAGTACTCTTGGTATTTTATTCTCCATGTTTTTAAGTGCTCTAAGTTTAAGTATAATGTGGACATTTAAAATGTCAACTGAGTTATCAAAAATTCTGCCATTCATCCATACGTATATGCTTTAAATGGTCATTTAATAATTGTGAGCTTTAGTGTGCAAGAATTATAATCTCAGTGGAGAATATAGACATAAGTAAACATGTAAAAAGAAATATTACTACACTAGAAAATAGATATTAACCAAAAGGAAACATTTATTGTATGTACAAACAATGCATACAACATAAGTGATTCTACCATAAGGATAAAGCTGAACTGGGAATCCCAGATTCTATGGTTTACAATGTTTGCCAGGGTAGGAATCAACTTTATTCTTTCAAAGATCTGCATTTGCGACATACTAAAGATTCCTCATGCACTTTCCAAAGCAAAATGTTATTTTTTTGCTGAATGACTGATGACCTTTTCTTAATTTTACAGTGGGAAGAAATTAGTGGTTTGGATGAGAACTATACCCCGATACGAACATACCAGGTGTGCCAGGTCATGGAGCCCAACCAAAACAACTGGTTGCGGACTAACTGGATTTCAAAAGGCAATGCACAAAGGATTTTTGTAGAATTGAAATTCACCCTGAGGGATTGTAACAGCCTTCCTGGAGTACTGGGAACTTGCAAGGAAACCTTTAATTTGTACTATTATGAAACAGACTACGACACTGGCAGGAATATAAGAGAAAACCTCTATGTAAAAATAGACACCATTGCTGCAGATGAAAGTTTTACCCAAGGTGACCTTGGTGAAAGAAAGATGAAACTTAACACTGAGGTGAGAGAGATTGGACCTTTGTCCAAAAAGGGATTCTATCTTGCCTTTCAGGACGTAGGGGCTTGCATAGCTTTGGTTTCTGTCAAAGTGTACTACAAGAAGTGCTGGTCCATTATTGAGAACTTAGCTGTCTTTCCAGATACAGTGACTGGTTCAGAATTTTCCTCTTTAGTCGAGGTTCGAGGCACATGTGTCAGCAGTGCAGAGGAGGAAGCGGAAAACTCCCCCAGGATGCACTGTAGTGCAGAAGGAGAATGGTTAGTGCCCATTGGAAAATGTATCTGCAAAGCAGGCTACCAGCAAAAAGGGGACGCTTGTGAACGTAAGTAATATATTTTATTGAAATTCTACTTTGCATTTTTTTTCTATTTCAGAACCAGATCTTATAAGTAATAATAATTATTTAAACAAGGGAATTTGTCATATATGAGCAGTGCAGTTCAGTAGATCTTAAACAAAGTCACTATTGAACTTAATGATTGCCCACTGTGGTATAAGCACTAAGGGTATGGAAGAAATATTAGTGATAAGAAAATTTGTCTGGGCCAGCCCGGTGGTGCACTGCTACAGTGCGCCGCTTGGGAGTGCGGTGGCGCTCCCGCCAAGGGTTCAGATCCCACATACAGACCAGCCGCTCACTGGCTGAGCGAGGTGCGGGCGCAACACCGAGGGTTGCGATCCCGTTGCCGGTCCCGGTCTGGTACGGGCGCGACACTGAGGGTTGCGATCCGTAGCCGGTCACAAAAAAAGACAAAAAGGAAAAAAAAGAAAAAAGAAAATTTGTCACTAAAATTTAAGTTGTCTTGTGCTTGACGTGGAAGTCAACAGTTGCATGTTGGGCTATGGGGATTAAGAGAGACTGTGCAGGTGGACTATAGGCTGGGAAGACTGAGATGACATTAATCAGGATTTAGTGAGATGCAATTCCTCCTGTTTTTAAACTCCTATTGTTAGGGCCCATGAGTTTCAGAAAATAGGAGGTTAAAGGGGCTGCTAACAGCTCTGTTGATAGGCAGGGCACAAACAAATGCGTTTATAGACTTTTAGAATTATCTTTTATAAATGTTAAAACTTTGATACAAAATCATCAATATTTCTTAATATACCTCTGTGGTAACTTTTGCCAAAGCTTTAATGCTTTCTTGGACTAAATAAAATGAGTGTTTTTCTGGTAAGTCATGTTTTAGTGGACCACATTTTTGTGGAAGTGGGCCAAAGTAAAGTTTTAATTATTGCGGTATGTCAGCTGGATGTTTTCTAATTGTTTTGAAACGATAATAGCATATGAATTAGTAAAAGTTTTTCTTTTTTGTAAAACTGGATTTTCTCTTACATAGCATTATGTGGTCAAATAATTGGCCAGTATTTTTCTATTTAAAACTATGTCACATGGACCTTCAAAATTGGTAGATATTTTTCTGTTTGTAAGTATCTGAAAATATCTTAAAACAAAGTTATATCACTTATGTCCTTATTAACACAATTTATAAAAGAATACATTTCAAAAAATAACTTTTATATATTCTTTGCTCTCCTAAGCAAACATCATAATTTCTATCATGATGTTAAATTAGAAGGAGCTACAACTGATAATTATTATAACTAAATTTTCTTGATAACTTACTATGTACGGACACTCTTCTGTGTGTTTTGCATATACTAGCTTATTTAGTGGGGTAGATATTATCATTTCTATTTAACATAATAGAAAATTGGAGCTATGAAGGGTAAATACCTTGCTTGCAGTTACTTTAGTAATATTTGTCTTAGCTTAGATTCACACTTAGGGCATTCTGACTCTAGAGCCTGGGCTTTTAGGAACAATATTGCCCTAATTTCCATCACAAAGCAAGGAGAATCCTAGCAAGCATTCTGTTTCATTACTAAACTTAAATATCTCTCTCATAGTGGTTTGGTGCCCCCATGTAGTATAAATAATTATATTACTTCCTCATAAAATTCTCATTCTAGTGGAATATTTTTAAAAGAAATAATTTAAAAACTATTTAGATCTGTGCTGTCCAGTATAGTAACCAGCAGCCACATGTGGCTTTTTAGGTTTTGAAAAGTGGCTATTTTAAATTGAGATGTGCTGTAAGTGTGAATTACACACTGGATTTAGAAAGCATAGTAAAATAAAAGAATATACATCATTAGTAATTTTTTTATGTTTACTACGTGTTGAAATAATTATATTGTAGACATATTGGGTTAAATAGAATATAATATTTAAATTAATTTCAACTATTTCTTTTTACTGTTTTTTTTTAATGAAGTAACTGAACAAATGTATTTTTCTGTCCTGTTTGAAAAGAGAAATAATTCATGTGAATGGTCACTAAACATATAAAGTACCCATGGCCCAACAGTTAATTACCATCTACACCATAGCTGACATTATAAAGTGAACTCTGAGCAAAACAAATGGAGATGGTATAGGTTCAGGTCCCACAGGCTAGTTTAGCAGCCTTCTTTTATACCCCTGAGGGAGTCAAAACTGTTTCCCACTGACCCCTTCCCAAATCTCTCACTGGCAGTATTTCTAATTGAGTATTAAATTCTGTAGGTTCCATATATGAGGAAATCAAAAACTGATGAAGATTTATCACTACCAGTAGGCAGAATGCTATTCCACTGGGTAAGAATAGAAATATGTTTAGTAAACTAATCAGTTCAGTGAAAGGCAATGTTGTCATTGACTAGAATTTAACAATAGTTACTTGAAAATGATAGTGGATTCAGCAGTAACTATAGAAAAATTTTTAAGATGACTATTACATTTCAGCTGAAAAAGCAGCTGGTTTCAATATTGTGCAGATCTTGAGTGATTCAAAAGTGGAATTTAAAAGTTTTGCACAGTTAAAATGGGAAGAATAACCAATAAAGCAGAAATACATATAAAAGTGCACAATTAGATTTGTCTGTGAACACTAAGATATAACATTAAATGTTCTGTTCTTTTACAGTTTAAAGATTTGAAGAAAATTACAATTTTTTTGTTTGATTTTGTGTAATTTAATTCAAATGATTTCTAGTCTTACTTGTTAAGAAAAACCAAATAGGAACTGTTTGAGTTTTACACTTGTAAGAATAGAATTTAGTAAGAAAAGCTGTCTTTAACTACAGTAAACAGATATATTTATTGTGAAGACCCCAATTTCTCCCAGATGAGCAAAATCATCCTATTAAATGTGCTATTAAAAATACTTACATTCATTTATTTTAGTTTCAAGAATTAAACTTTTGAGTACCAAAATTATTGTCACCTGTAAACTATACTAACATACTTAAAAATAGATTATAATTACTCCACCATCATCCGTATTAATTCTGCCTTGGAATAGGTGGAAATAGGTATTAATAGTAAGAGTTCATTTAAAAAAAAGGTGATTAGAAGAGGCAACATGCCTCCCTATGGTTCAATTAAAAGAGTATATGTGCATTGTTGTAAGTCAAATAAATTTTTTATGATATAACTCTTAATTTTTAGCCCTGGTGATATTAATAAAGGAATTAAATACCTTATCCTTAACTATAAAACTATGTTCATTTGCAGAAACAATTTTTCCTTGGCATAATTCCAATACATTGCTGCAAGAGTACTTGACTCTGGAATCAATCCAGGCCTGCCTTTATAGTATTCCTCCTGTTTCCTTTCAGTGATCCTGTTAAGTGTTAAGAGTTTGAAAACAAATTCCAGTCCCATTTTGAGGAAAACTAACGTGTTTGGGAGAGCATGCTAGTAAGTCCCTAGCCAAATGAAATGGTTAGCTGCCTAGAGTCAAGTTTATCTGGGTACTTTCCAGAGTGCCGGCCCATTGTGATGTTTGTTAGAGGATAATATGAAATACAAATAACTATGAAAACTGATGACAGTTTTGATCAGTTGATGTTGGGGCTTTTTTTTTTTTTCATGACTTTAAAAACATTCCATTTTGAAAAGCAAATGTTTCTCAAGTCTATTAATATATGGAGAACTTCTAGTCTAATTTTTAAATATAGTGTTTTTATGAAGACAATCTCTTTAAAATATACAATTCCCATAAATTATTATGCTTTTATTGTCAAAAGTTTCTTTTAAAAACTTACAAGTTTGTAACAACTTCTGTACAAACCAGCCAATATATTTTCTTAGATGAAAAGTATAGTCATTTTAAAAATTGAGAGATTATATTTTACATATATATATTTTGGGAAGACTAATAAAATTGTATACTGAAATGTATTTTGAATTTTTGTAACTTTTGTACAATTTTATTTCATTTTGAAAGTAGAATAGCGTTTGTCAAAGTGGGAAGCTGGATATTATAACTTGGATTTGTGTAGGGAATTGCCATTTGCACTGAACAATCATGTTCATTTTCTCATTTAATCCTCACTATATCACTAAGAGATGGAAAGTATTTTTTTCCTCTCTCATTCAACTTATGCAGAAACTGGAGCTCAGAGATATGCAGAATATTGGCTACTAATTCAAGTCTTTTTTCCCACTACACCATACCACTTCCCTAAAATTTGTTTGGGACTTCAGTAGATTTTTATTACTGATGAAGTAATGAATCTTTATTCTGAGTAGGGTGACCATATGCCCAATTTGTCTGGGATAATTGTTATACTTATTATAACACTTCCTGTTTTTGCTTTCAAAAGTGGTCTTTCTTATTTGGATGATAAAATATATGGTTACCTTAATTGTAAACAATTCAAGGTTGAAATGCAGTTCACATGCACATTTATCAGAACTTAAGTCATATTTATATTGCTTAATTTATATTTTCTGAAAAGAAAGATTTAGAAATTTCCTTATTGATGATTTCATATGAAGGGGAATTCAAATAATTATAGATTTATAATTTTATTGTAAGGAATTTTCCTAATAGTTGCTTCTTAATATCTTCTATTAATAAGTTAACAGGTCTATCATTATTTTAATAATATATAATTTATGCATGTATAACATACACAATTCAATAAATTATAACATGCATTCAATTTTATAGCATTAACAAAATCTAAAACTTGTTTTTTGATTGGAGTTTTTAAAAACCTTGCTTTGTTTTTATGGACACATAACAAGTAATTTGTACCATCAATTTTCAGGATAACAACTGAATCTTTAAAATACATAGTATTTATAATGAAATGTATGTATAGAAATGTAAGATACACTACAGGGTTAATAGCTCAGATGCTGGAGTCACAGAGTTTTAAAGTCCTGTCTCCACAACTTAACAGGTGCATAAAGTAGGACAGTCTCTCCAAACCTTAATTTCTTTAAGTATAAAATGGGGTTAATAAAAATCGTACCTCCCTCATAGGGTTCTTGTCAG